AAATAATGACATTCAAATTTATGTGACTAACATTAAGTACATCTTCTTGTTTAATGGTTTGGCATGGTGCATTATTCTTGTTTATGAATATGAATTCTAATTTCATGCTTCATATTGAATTTAATTTTCCATTGCAAGCAATAAAAAAGAAATCATACAAAGATAGATTATAATTCAGGTGGATCTATCTATCATTTTACCAATTTATTCTTGTTAGACTTTCATTTGATTATAATATTGGTTAATAGAACATTAAGTAAATTGAAATAAAATGGGTCACTTAAGCTACAAGAATTATTCTGAATCAAAATTTCTTTCAGTGCTATGTAAGGTATCTTCACTTTCTTCCTCATTCTCACTTGAAGTGCTCATCAAACTATCCACTTCTTATAATTGCATTTTAGCATTAGGCAATGAACTATCAAGAACATTAATTTCAATAGCCCTATATTCTGTCATATCATCCTCTTGATGTGTAGTAGTTATGACGTGTTACTGGTCAACAATCCCTCGTGCTTTTATTTTTATGATAGCTAAACAATCTTACTTATCTCTACGACCATGGGGATATTTGTAGAAACAAACTTGAATAGCTTGACTTGCTAGCACAACTGGATCAAACTTCCTGCATCTTCTTCTATGTTTTACCTCTACTAAATTATATGTAGGATGAACTCTTGTGTCTTTATTTGATACATGATTATAGCACTGACAGGTTAACAAACATATATGATTCACATCTTCTCATTGGTGGGTACCGCAGCTCAAGGACTTTATCCAAAATATCATAATAATCACACTCATCTACTTCATGAGTGTTTTCCTTTAACACAAACTCCATAATTTTTATTTTTTATTCAATTAGTATATAACTTGGAATGAAATCTAAACCATTAACAATATAGATTGGCCATGTGTTTGCTTTTACATTGGGCCCCATGTCAGTACTTGCAGCCCTTTATCAAAGACCTTATTATAGGGGTCATGCACCTAAGAAAAGTTGGAAAATTTAGGACTTATATTATCTAATAAGATATAAATCAATGAAATAATATAGATTTTTCTCATGTAAGATCTAAACCATATTGTAAATTCAATTACAACGAGTTGCTTAACAGCTACAATATCTATTGGAGGAAAACTACTTATGAAATACCTAACAAGAAATCCTTCAATTCACACTTCAAAATTAAAAAATAACATGATTTCTTATGCACATTGTAGAAAAACTAACTCTAAGATAGGTTGGACTTCTTGCAATTCATAATCATATATAAAGTTGTTATTCTTATTTCTAATCACTGAGGAATCTTGTAACACATTTCCCACTATCTTTTCCATGTATTATATGGACTAATAGTGTATATTCTGATTATTCTTCGATATCAAAGTTTAAGTTACACCCAAATTAATTCTTGTACTTCTTATATGGGGCTCGAAGTAGTAGGAGCATAAGTGTATGATTTCTTGAGCCAAATATACTTCATATATCGATCCTTCTGGTTGTGTTTTATTCTTAACATATTTTTAAAATTTGTTCAAATATTTATTAACGATTAAATTTATCAGTTATGATTAAAAATATTATAGATAATGTATTTATTACATGTATTACCACTCAAAATGGTACAACTAATGATAGTGCACAAGTTCTCTTACTCTAGCCTCATATGATAGATGGACTGGAAGATGATCCAGAAAATCAAAGAATCCAAGGGGAAAGTTTTTTCTATCTTACATATAATTATTGGTAAGTTTTTCTCACTCCTTCATAAAAGCCTCTTTGCTTAGTTTATATGAACATACATTTTTAAGGAATATGCTAAGCTCCGTCAATAGATTTGATATGTAATCTAGTAACAAACATAGCATAATTGGAAGGAGCACCTCTATAATTATGTGATAGTCATGAATTTTTAGTCCAAATAATCTCGTAGATTTAAGGTCTACACATCGGCTTAAGTTTGATCCATAACCATCATGCATTTTTAAACCATAAAACCACTGACATATTGATCTTTTTTATTTTAACGTGAATTAGAATGGTGCTTTAGGTTTCATTATTCTGCCATCATTATTTATTATTAGCTATAGATTTCTTTATCTACAGTACTCTTTAATGTCAATTCTAGCTTTCACATTATCCTTACTCTTTCCTTTAACATCCATGATTGTATTAAAAATATTATCATGAACTTTTTCTCAATATGTATAATATCCATATTATACCTTATCATATTTGTACTTTAATATGGTAATATTAAAAAAAATTTCTTTTTAATTCAATTATGTTTAACACCATATACAAGAAATTTAAACTCAAACAATATTAGGAAAATAATTAAAGAAATACTAGAAAGTTTATATAGTATGTCATAACCACTTAATCTTGGTAGAGGTGGTGACCTCTCAACTCTAATTTTGAAGAATGCATCATTATTTCTTCCAAATGGATGATTATAAGGTAGGAATATCCAGTGACTATCAAACCAAATATTTTTTCCACCCTATTTTAATGTGAAAGATTTTATTTTCACCATATAGAAAGGCAAGGTAATTTTATTGCTGTGCTCCAACCCGATAATATACTATAAGCTGGAAAATCACTAATGGTCCAAAGTAATGAAGCTTTAAGGTGAAAATTCTAATTAGTTGAGATGTCATATATGAGAACACCTTCTTCCCAAAAGAACTTGAGATTATCAATTAATGATTATAAAAAATATCAATTTTTACTTTGGAATTATGTTGTCCTGGTATTAAAAGTGTTAAGAATATATCTGGGATTGTCATGCACATCTCTGGTGGAAATTTATATGGTGTAGGTATGACTAGCCAATAAGAATATGGTAAAGTTGTCTCACTGTATGGAGTGAAACCATCAACACATAAGCCTAATCTTATGTTACGTGTCTCAGCAACAAATGAAGCATGTGTCTGATTAAAATGTTATCATGCTTCATCATGTGATGGATGAGCAAGAACACTACTGTGAGCTAATTTCTCCTTATGTCATCTCATAAAACCTGCTGAACTCATTAATGTGTAGATGCGCTGAACTCTTGGAATAATTGATAAATAAAATAAATAAGAATATGAAACATCTTTTTTTTTTTACAATATTATTTTCTAGAGTTGGATTTGAATAGAGGCATATAGTGGGTACGACAATAAATTTTTTGTTGCATCATCTTTGTAATATAGCATACAATCATTTATATAACAATCAATTTTTATAGCTGTGAGACCCAATTTGGATACTAATTACTTCATTCGATCTAAATTTGTGGGGATTAAATTGTCAGCTGGATTAATTTCCTTCATAAGAAAAATAAACACATTGAATCACACCCAAGTAATATTATATTTAGTTTTGATACTAAGCATCCTAAAAGAAATCGATAATTCTAAATGAGCTGTCAACCTTCACAAATTAGTTTTTAAGTAGAATTCAATTTTTTTTTCTGAGTTTGGTGGTTCTTCCATGTTTGCTCTTAAATTTCGACCCGATGCATTAAAAAATATGTTTTTCATACGGTCTACTCATTTTATCTTCATCTAATGTTCTAAAATCTATGGATGAGTCAGCATGAGTATCTCCATATGGCACGTACTTGCCATATGAGGTCCAGAACCAATATCCTGGATTAAATCCCAAACGACATAAATCAATTTTAACATCATCAAGCTTAATAAAAGCATAATTTTTGTACTTCAAGCATGGACATCTAACTATTCCATCAGACTTAAATGAAGGGAGTTGACATACGACTTGAATGAAAGTCTAAACTCCTTCAATAAATATATATGTCAATCCTTTTCATCCAGATAACTATATGTTATACATCAAATATCGCTTTTTATAGGATAGTCATGTGTATGCTGAATTAATAATCCTAAAAAAAATGTATTAAAAAATTTATTGCTTGTGTTGAGGCTCATATTTAATCTACATCAAAGTACTAAGATTGAATAATGAAAGTGAATATATGTGGCATGAAGGTTATGGTTTTGAATATTTTCTCTTTTGATTGTTAAGTTTAGCCAAGAAAAAGTTTCAACCCTTCATATTCCATTACAAGTATATGTCCTCAAACACTTTAATAAGCCTCCACAAGGATTATTGACTACCTATAAATAACAATTAAATTTTAAATTTGATAAAATCAAAACATTTTAATATTCAGTAATAGATACTCCCCAATTGCTCCCCAGCTCCTTCAACCGCCCCATCATCCCCCCGTCCACTCAAACCACCACCAGATTCATTTGGCTAAACAAGTCTAGGTATCATATAAATTTATGACTATGTCAATCATGACCCTATACAACTTAGTTATCTACCTTTCTTAACATGGGTATTATATATACATGACTAGATTAGACAAAACATAGACACTATCTAGTTCCTTAATTTCTTTGAAGTAGCCATCTTATACAAGTTATTATCTAACCTTATATTCATAATTCATGAAGAACAAATATGTATTAAGATCAACTGAATCAATTTGGTATCATAGATACTAAACTAAGTGGAACTCAAATTCATGAGCATTCCACATTGACTTAGTTCAAGGATTACCTTACTTAGAATAGATCAAATTCCTAGTCTAGTCACACTTCTGGTTAATACTTGACCGACCAATAAACATCATTCTAGCATATTACAAAACCACATAAGCACTTAAGATACTCATTTCTTCATCTCTATAGCATGCAAAATCATATAAATAAAAAAATTCCATATTTCTAATGACCTTAAGGATGAAGGCCGGCATCGGCTAAGGAGAAAGGTAGGCTCCTAAACTGCAAGTTCTACTTGAAGTTAAATTTTCATGGAGCATGGTTTATTCTGAGTTGTTAGACAACAACATTAAGAAGGAATATTCTTTCAGTATAGTTAAAACAATCTCAAGCTCTGAATAAAGCGGTGCCATACTAAAGATGAGTCGATGGCTTCCCATAAGCTAAAACAATAATAATTTTATAAGAACATGAGATAATATATATGTGAAATGCATTTGTAAACTTTTTTCACTATAATAAACTTAAACATTATAATAGCTTCCGCTTTATGAATTTCAAACCAGAATAATACATCAATGTTAAAAAAAAAAAAAATGTTCCTCTTTTGTTTTGGCTGGAAGTTACATTTCAGATTATCACGCAAGTTCTGTTCTGAATCGCATTACTTGATATTTCAAGATGTTAGTAAGGGAGCCTCAATTAACCGTTCCATAGTTTGCAACTGATCATAAGGTGCTATCTGCAAAAGCCATAGAAACGAAGTGATCAATGCAATTAAACTTCAATGGATTATAAAACTCTCAAAGATTTAGGTTTCGTTTGAGACGGCTTTCTTATTAATTCTTAAAGCAGCTTTCTAGTATAAAATTTTTAATTTTTATACTAAAAAGTTGTTTTAAGAAGCAATAAGAAAGCCGTCCCAAACAAAACTTTAAAGGATAACTAAAAAATAGTGATTGATGCGGTACAAAAATTAGCCACAAATTTTTCGGTCGGGGGAAAATGAAAAAAAAGAATGAAAGATTCTAATCAAAATTTAATTATGACAGATTTTAAAATCGATGGATTTACTTCAAGAATAGTGCAATACAAGAATTAATGGATTATACATGTTTTGGAATCATCTCAAAGAATACTTAAGGATTTAAAAGTCTATCAGAATAAATTTTGGTTAGAATATTCTAACCAAAATGTTTTTTTTTTTAATTTGAGTTAGAAAATCCAAAGTAAATTTTGATTATAATTTAGTTTTAAAATCCTTGATTTATTTTGAGATATAATACAAGAGTTGATTGTTTATACAATCCCAAAAGTTAAAGTATGTGGGCTTTGAATATTCAAGCTTTGAGGCCCGACCTCTCCACATATATTCAGGGAAAGTTTTACTGGATTATATTTAATGGGGAATTTTCAGAAGACAAATTAGATAGATATAAGCCACTATGCAGTAATTTTGCCCTCTTAATGAGAATTTTAAGATCTGAGTACTAGTTTCCTATAGGTGTAAGCTCCTATACTTAATTACCTCTCCCGATAACGAGAGAACACTTTCAATTAAGGCTAGTCATTAAACAACTACTTAATATCCAGTGCATAGTAGCAACAAATTAGAAGTTTAAGATTCAAATTATAAATTTACCACCCTTTCACTTAAAACAAATGATGGAGGAAATGATGATGAAACTAATCAAAATCTCATGATTCTGTCGTCCTGAGTCATCATGGTGCCTAGTCTACTTTATTAAAAGAGATAGTCGACCTAACCTGACAGAAGGATCATTGCAAGCAGCCATAAGTTGTTTCGTACAAGGGTCCATTGCAGACTTGGGATGATTATTTGTTTTAAGAGATGAATTCAAGCCAACATTAGCTAACAGAGGGCTTTGTGCCCTATCAATTATATCTTATAATGTATTACTCAATGGAAACTAGCCATTAGGGAACATACAGGCTTTTTGCCATTACTGTAATATAGTGGAGTCATTCGACAAGCCACTAGGTAAGAGGGCCGTGATCATAATCGTTTACCACGTGGAGTCGTTCTGGTCAAACTACGGGACCTTTGTTGAACCATTTGACCAAAATAAAAATTAGACCAATCATAATCACACAATGTAGAGCAATCTAGCCAAACTATAGGCTTTATGGAGCCATCTAATCAAGCCATCGATTAAAGGACAACTGTCACGTCCTTAATAACATGAAATTATTTGAGATTGAATCCGAGTGATATTCTTGACTGAATATTTTCTCTTTGTGAGCTAGAGTAGTTCTTTGATTTATCACCCTCATCAAATAGTTGCGGAGGGGTGGATGTGTTTTGCTATAAATTATTTGATGTTTAATTTAAATATTAATAATTAAAGTTTTTATAGATCCAAAGTCTTAGAGTTTCAAAGAAATTTAAAAATTAATCCCTCCGGTTGATATAAACTTTCAACACACCAATCATCGGGATGATGTTAAAGTCATTTGAAAATGTTCATATTTTAAAATTTTGATAGATATTGAACTTTAGTGTTTCACTTAAATTTAGAAATTAACTCGAGTTGATATTAGCTTTCAATACGGCCATAATCGGATGATATTATAGTCACTTGAAAATATTTGTATATCATAGGAATTTGGAGGCATTTAAAAGATAGAGTCTCCTTTGATTAAGATTAACTTTCAACAGGGTCATCATCAAGGTGATGTTAAAATTATTTTAAAATATAATATTTTGTTAAGGTTTGAAGGCATTTGAAAGATAGGATCACATACGGTTGAGGTTAACTATCAACACAGCCATCATCGGGGTGACATTAAAATCATTTTAAATAATATAGTTTTTGTTGAAATTTGAAGGCTGTGGGCTCCGAAAATTCGGCCCCGGCCTCCCCGCCGCGCGATTTCTTTTTTTATATTCGGCGAGGGAGTTTTAACGGATAAGTTCCAGGGTAAATTTTGGAAGGAAGATGGGTTTGTAGATAAGACACTACCCAGAGATTTTGCCCTCATTTTGCGAGGACTTTATGATCCGAGTTCTGGTTTCCTATAGGCGCAAGCCCCTATAGTTAATTACCCCTCCCGATCACAAGAGAGAACTTTCGATTAAGGCTAGTCAGGGAAAGTCGTCGACGAGAGCGAAGTCGCACAGCCACGACGGGGTCGGAGGGGCGTGCGAAGGGGAGAAAGGTGCCTTCACAGCAAGCGAGCTCGCGTTGGTTGCTTCCGATCAAAGTATCGGAACTTCCGATCTGGCTGGAAGGGAAAGTCGTCGACGAGAGCGAAGTCGCACAGCCGGGAAGGAGTCGGAGAAGCACGCTGGAAGGGAGAAAATTTCCTCTGCAGCCGGCGAGCTCCCGTCCGATCAAAATGTCGTGGCTTCCGATCTCACCGAGAGAAGAGAGCGAGAGAAATGTCGGGGGAGAGAGGGAACCAGCGACGGGAGCTCTGCGAAATGGAATGGCCCGAAGGCTTCGTTCGCTCTGGTATTTAACGACGCTGAAGGAGGCTTGATCGAGGCGAGCGTGGGTGAAGCGACTGCATTCGGCGCCGTTGCAGGGTGTCTCGGCGGGATTCCTTGCGAATTTTGCGGGTTCGACAGTCCGAGGTGCGGGATTTCGGGGATTTGCGGCAGAGACAGGTACGTTGATTTTTTTTTCTCTTTTTGTTATTACATGGAGGTCAACAAAGGCATTTGAAAGATAGGACCCCTTGTAGTTGATTATCGTTGGAAAGTGTGCAAATTTTATTAGGATTTATAATATGCCTTTTGTCCACTTGTACGAGTGTTGTAGATCATGTAGCGTAGAAGGGAATTTTAAACAAATAGGGATATTATTGTATGATTTCAAGACATGCATAGGATTTGAAAGTCATCTTGCAAAATTCCTACAAGTGGAAGGTGTGCAAAATTCCTACGAGTGGAAGGTGTGCGGATTTGACTTTTACACTTAAGTATTTTGCACTATTTAAAAAAATAAAAAAACAAGTATTTTGCACTATTTATAAATTTTCACGATCGCCTTCTGTCTGCTTGCATGAAAATATTGTGAATCCAGTGGCTAAAAAGACAATTTTGGGTCAAATACACGGAATAGATATAAGCTCATTTAACTTATTTGAAATTTTATTACTACTGCCGATTACAAAAATGGGCTCCATAGGAGAATCCTCCACCATGTATACATATGCGAGAGGGAAGAGCTTCATATATCCCAAGGCACAAATAGGAGTTTTCATTTAAGTTCTTTGCAAGTCATCTATTGAGTTCCTAAGATTTCTAGACATCCTAATTTGTTGTTGTCAGCCTAAGGATTCGATAAGTATCATATTTGAGTTTGTAATGAGCATGTCAATTCAATCCAGTCCTCTGTAGATTACGTTATATTACCTACTTGTATTTTAATCATTGCTTGCATTTTAATTCTTTTAAGCATTTGATTTTACATTGTAATTTGCTTAAATCATTTAGGTTTAGGAGCTTTGTGCTCCCTGTATTGTAATGTTCAAGTTCACTGTAGTGCCAAAAAATTTATAAGTCCGAATTTCAGCAGAAATTTCAATAGCCTCATGACATCTCCTCCATTTAGGGAAAATTTTAGGAGGGCTAGGCCTAACCACCGCGCTAAAAAAGCACGTATGACCGGTGTCGGGTGACATCGTGGTCGGAACTCTATAATCCCACCACATCAAGAAATACGTGTTTAAGATATCTGCATGGGAAATTTAGATTAACCAAAAATACTTGTTTGCTTACACAAGTCAATACAAATGTTCTAAATAACCATATAAATAATTCAATTGTTTCCTCTGACAAAAAGGTCGCCACTAAGAAAATGTTCTACCAATGATTATTAACAACGACAAATGGTGCACAAACTTAATTATATTTCTTTAGCCTATAACAAGTATCAAAAAGTACATCTCCAGAACAGTCATAATATATCCTACCCATTGCATCAACCCAAAATAAAATTTAGCAATATATCAAATTCATTAATTTGGACACCCCATGCGAACATGTTGTCATTAACTCGACGATCTATAAATATTGAATAAAAAAATTAGTGACCTCAAATTCAATTTTTACTCATTTCTCCTTCTAAATAAAGTTATATGCCTCCCTCTTAGAGAATCCAACATGCTCGATATCTCCAACTTCCTCTACAAGGTAAGAGAATGCATCAACGGTTCTTATCCCGACTTATGTCATTGATTTCAGAACTAAAGCTTTCTCATTATCAATATCCTTACATGATCTCATGAGGTGTCGATCTTCTAGCCTAGCCAATTCATGATTGTGGGATTCAATAAATTTTTTCACATTTCAGTTTCCAGCTTCATTAACTGTAAACCTAACCAAAGATAGACAGCTCATTCTGGTCTCTGATTTTTTATATTTCAATTGGGAATTTAAATAAAATCTCTTCTTTAAACCAGCTTTTGAATAGGCAAAGTTTTTTGGATTTTAATTTTTTAGAATTTGGCCAGTAATTGTGATGATCCTTGAGCACAATCAAGCCAGTATTATGGTGTTGACCTCTGTATAATACCCAAAAGAGATGAAAATGAAATGCATACCTGAGCGAATCCCGCAAATACCGCTGAAATTTCGCAAATCCTGCTCAAATCGCACCATATCAATGTACATCCGGAGCCGTTCCGGGATTTCTGCGAAAATTCTGCCACCGTTGTTCAAAACGACGCTACGCATCGTCATTAAATAGGAGAGGAAGAGACCTCCATTCAGCT